GGTGAAATCCAGGACATAATGGCGTGGATGAGCCCTAGAGAAGAACAACAAAATAATTTATCTATAGTTAGCAAGAGGGCACACAGAGCCCATGGGTGCACATGGAGGACTACTGGGAGATGTGGTGGAAAATCTAATCTCGTCTCTGCGGTTCTACAATCTCAGTAAAACAAGCAGCAAAGTCACCCACCCAGACAGACAGAGGAGGTGTGAAGAGTCCTTCAGCATGGCGCTCAGATACACCTGACACATACCTCGCGTTAGAACTTACACTGTGCTATATCATTGACGCACGTCTCCTTGTCCGCTAGACTGTAAAATAATTTAAAGTAGGGGAAGTACTTTTTATTTTTGCACTCTACTAGCAAAAACCAAAATTCCCCACGAACTGTTACCTCACTGATTACATAAATGTCATAGATTCCTCTGTGTCTCTGCAATACAGCTTAACAAGTTTGAAAATAGCAGTTAAAAAAAAAATACTATCAAGTATCTGATAATTATACTTAAATTCAATTTGCAAATACTGAGAAAATGAAACCAGTAAACTTCAACTCATATGCGAAATTTAAAAACTACAGGTAGAATATAAACATTTTGTGCCATACTAAAGAAATAACGAGACGCCGATATTAAAAAATAACTGTGTAGAGTTAGGAGTTTCTCCAGAGTATGCATCACACTGATTCTACGTATTCAACATTTCATGACAAAATGTCAAGGATCTTTGAGAAGGGGTTACATCAAAAACATCTCCCATATTAAAAAAATAGGAGCACTCTTACCCCATGGTCATATTTTTTAAATATATGGTTTCGAAACCCCTTGATACCAAGCGTAAGAACAAAGAAAAATGAAGCTTCGATCAAGTGCCGAGCAACGGAACGTGCTCTAGACATTCAGAATACTCTAATTACTTAAGATTTTGTAATACTACAAACCCAAAATGACAATTTGGCTAAATTTTTCAACTTTCAAAACCCAAACAGCTGTAAATTGTGTCATCTGGAACAATTACTTTCAACATCCCGCAAATTCAAAGACACTATCTAAAAATCCAGAATTAAGGGGCGCCTGGGTGTTTCAGTCGGTTGAGCATCCGACTTCAGCTCAGGTCATATCTCCCAGTTTGTGAGTTCGAGCCCCGCGTCAGGCTCTGTGCTGACACATCAGAGTCTGGAGCCTGCTTCGGATTCTGTGTCTCCCTCTCTCTATGTCCCTCCCCCGCTCAGGCTCTGTCTCTGTCTCTGTCTCTCTCTCTCTCAAAAACAAACATAAAAAAATTTTTTTTAATCCAGAAATAGAAACCAACAAATCATGAACATGTGATGCTTTATTGAATTTATTATTCTCGAACATTCTTCTTCCTTTAATAAAAAGAATAGCAGTGATATACCTGCTAATGGTAGAAAATGAAGAGCTCTTCTATAAAAGGCTACAAAGAGAAGTTGCAATTATTACTGAATATGCCAACTCAGTTTAAAATATTCAAGAGAAGCTGGTCAACAGTGTTCACCACCTTGAAGCAGCCCCACCTCCCTCTGAACCAGTGATCTGCTGTCCCTCCTCGGCAATCCTTCAGGAAAGTCCTTCCCCATCTTAACTGTACTGGTCGGAACACAAAGACGTAGGGACAGAGCGGGAACGCAGGGTCACCCCACATCTGGTCCTGCTCCCCAGTGACAACAGGGAAGGGCGCAGGACAAGGTAGGAAAGGAAACAATCCAGTGATGCACAGGCATCCGAGACCCAGAGCAGGACTTTCTCTCCCTGTGGCCTGAGGGTCAGTTGTTGAGACAGAATAGAAATAAAAGTGAAAGGAATCTGAAGAAGACATTTAAAAACTGAAAGGCTTGACTCAACATTTTTTACTTTTGGTGAAGTCGAATGGTTTCCACCACTGAGCGAACTGCAGTGCCTTCTTCCTCTGATCCTCAAAGCTTTCCCGGATCCCTTTCCTCCACAGCCTGGGTTCTACATCCAACATCCCACCAATGATTTCCTTTTAAAGAATGAGAGAAATACAGACACATATATGTATAAATGCTGAAAACAGAATGAATCTATTTATATTTATACTAAGTATAAAAGTCAGTAGTTCTCCAAGATGATACTCAAATTCTACATACATACTAGTTTCAAGTTAAAAAATCTTACTTTCCAGTATGGAGGTTCCTCAAAAAGTTAAAAATAGAACTACCCTATGACCCAACAATTACACTACTAGGTATTTACCCAAAGGATACAAAAATACAGATTCAAAGGGTACATGTATCCCAATGTTTACAGCGGCGCTATCTACAATAGCCAATTATGGAAAGACCCCAAGTGTCCACTGGCTGATGAATGGATAAAGAACATGTGGTATATATACAATGGAATATTAGTTGGCCATCAAAAAGAATGAAATCTTGCCATTTGCAACGATGCAGATAGAGCTAGAGAGTATAATGCTAAGTGAAGTAAGTCAGGCAGAGAAAGACAAATGGCTACAATTTCATTCATATGTGGGATTTAAGAAACAAAACAAATGAGCATGGGGGGGGGAAAGAGAGGCAAACCAAGAAACAGATTCTTAACCACAGAGATCACACTGATGGTTACAGCGGAGAGGTGGGTGAGGGATGGGAGAAACAGGTGATGGGGATTAAGGAGGGCACTTGCTGTGATGAGCACAGGGTGCTGTATGTAAATGATCAATCACTAAACTCTACACCTAAAACTATTATTGCACGTGTATGTTAACAAGCTGGACTTTAAATGAAAACTTGGGGAAAAAAATCTTGTTTTCAGTTAGTTCTAACTATGCAAGCCCTAGAATTCTAGCAGTGCTAGTTTTGTCTCTTGTCCTGTTCTTTGTCCGTTTTGTTGCTTGTTAGCACATCTACCAGAGAGGCGCAAAGGGGAGGAAGGGAGCGTGACATTTAATTAATTTGGTCCTCATGAGCTGTTCTGGTAACCAGTATGGAGAAAAAGTTAGCCAACATGCAACAATTATTAACTCTGGTGTCGGACTGCAGTTGAATCTAAGGCCAACATTCTCTCTACTACCCCTTATATTTATAAGCCAGTTTCTTCTACTATTAGCTGGAGATCTTTATTCAGGAAATAGAATATTTTATTTTATTTTATTTTATTTTATTTTTAATGTTTTATTTATTTTTGACAGAGAGAGACAGAGCATAAGCAGGGGAGGGGCAGAGAGGGAGGGAGACACAGAATCGGAAACAGGCTCCAGGTTCTGAGCTGTCAGCACAGAGCCTGACGTGGGGCTCGAACTCACAGACCTCGAGATCATGACCTGAGCGAAGTCAGACGCTCAACCGACTGAGCCACCCAGGCATCCCTAGAATCATATTTTAATACTAATAATCCAAATAAACAAAGAATTAAAAATTATAAACCACCTTCTTTTAAGAGTCACATTCCAAACTCCTGTAAGAGATGGATTTTGATTTGACTGCTTTCATTATCCTAGATTACTTCCCTCATGATTCTCTTCCTGTGCTGTTAGCTACAGAAAGTAATGCAATTTATGCCTGTGAGTATCCACATACACAAGGATATGGGGGAAACGTGCAATGCTTACGGGAGGGCAGTATGGCAACACAGGACAACACTGGGCTGAGGGTCAAACTCTGCATGTTCAGTCTACTTCCACAGGGCTGTGTGGTGAGATCCTGGACACGCTCTTAACATTTTTACCAAGGGGACATACTGTGTACAAGCAAGTACCAAATGTCGTTGGGGACACAAAGATAACTAACATACATCTACCTGTCTTCAGAGAACTAACAGAATGTGGGCCTGTGGTAGGAACAGAAGAATGACCAACTACACAAAGAACTGTCTTAAAGAGCAGAATAAGGTAAATGCCATTGCAGACTACATGGAGACTCAAAAAAAAGAAGATTCTAGTTATTGGATACATCAGAAAAGGCTTAGTGTAAGCTCCTTCACTGAGAAACAGAAATAAAGGGCCCAACAAAGAGAGTAATTTTAGGAAACATCAAGACTAAATTTAGATTTAATGCGAGAGTTTTCTTGGCATCAGCCCAAGTAAGCAATGTAGTTTAAGCAAGCCTAGTTTATGAACTGGCCTAACACTGTCTCTGTAAAATACCAAGTTTTGTCTTATGGGTACCATACAGGTACCATTGAGTCTTGGTAACAGAAGCAGCTGTGAATGGAAAGAGACCATCCCCCTCCTGCTCTCTGAACACTCGCTTAGGCAGCAGGCTGAAGGGAGTTCTTGGGCTCACAGGCTGCTTCTTGAGAAGCAAATTTGGGGGGAAACGGATCAGCGATGCCATGCTAACTGAGGAAGCTTTCTTTTTAAACAGTATCATATAAACATGTTTGTTCAGGGCTGCAATCTCCCAATTAAATTTACAAAATAAAAAAAAAATGGGTATTTTACTTTGTTTTCAAAAAAATCAGGTTGGAAGGAAGGAAGGAAGGAAGGAAGGAAGGAAGGAAGGAAGGAAGGAAGGGAGGAATCCAGAGTCTGAGAGCCTTCAGTTATAGAGTTCTATTGATTAAAACAACAGGGGTTTTCAGAGCAATGAAAACAAATTTCTTTCTAATTAACTCCGTGAAAAAACATTTTGAAAATTTCTCAAACACGTTTCTGTACTATATCTCAACAGTTCAAAAATGCATGTGATTTGGGGCCTCTAACATTTTAAAGGCAACAGAATAAACAGTTCTGAATCCGAACCTCTGGGGTCAAGATTCCTCCTGACGCGAGCCTACTCGCTGTAGAGGACGGCCATACAGGGGAGATGAGAGTGAGGAGGGAGACAGGGGCCCCAGGGCAGAGTTCACGAGGGCTCTTCTAGTCAGAGGACGGTATGAGCAGGAAAGCCTGAGCCAGAGTCGATTCAAAGGCCACTTCTAGAACTACTACTGCCCAGACTTCTTTTGACTGTTGCAGCGGCCACATTAGTTTTGTTCCAGCGCCTGACACTACCTCACATACTTCCCAGATACGCAGTGGACCCTACTTTGTGGCTGCACCCCCAGCAGTGAAACGAATGGCGATCTACGATCGCCACGCAGACATCTGCCCAGAAACCGTGTGAAATGACTCAGTCATATACTCTTCTCGGACCACATGGTGCTTCGTCGTTAAGTGCAGACGTGAGGTCATCCGTTCTCCAGTTCAACCAGGAATGAGAGGTGCATGGACCAGTTCTGTCCCTTAGAAGCGCGTGACTGGGTCACATAACCTGTCTGCAGCCCGGCTCCCCCATCGGTGAGATGAAAGGAAGGACAGCCTCCACAAAGCAGAGTCACCGCGAGCAAACTCACTGTGGGTGTCTAGAGTGTCACCCTTGTGGCACAAGGCCGGCTGCCTCCATAGGAAAACGGCTACCCTCCCTCTCGACGGTGTCAGAAAATGGTGGGTTCCAAAGGGACATTCCTGACTATTAGCAACGGTCTGAGGAATTTTTATTGGCAGCTTTGAGGTTCTCTCTCTAAAACTGGGTAGAAGAGCACTCACCAACTTCACTCTATATTGTGCCCCAAGTTTTGATTTCCCTTTGAAAGAAAAGTGTTATTACCAAACTGCTACAACACTCTGGAATTTTATTAAACTTGTGAGCTTACCTTCCCAAAGTAATGAGGGAATTTATGTTGATCTTCAATGACGTGGGCAAACCCTCCTTGGAGGCCAAAATCTACAGAGAAGTAAGGTAAGCCCCTGGGTACCTACATAAACAGATAAATCACACATGAGTACAGCCTGGAATCAGCAAGTTCTGTGCAATCCATTCTCCTGCTCTAGGATATGACGGAAGTTAGGCAACCCTTCACAACAAGAGCATATAATAAATTTCCAATTCAAGAATACGTAGTGACGTAACTTTCAGAGTCAAACATTTCATTTGGTAGCCTTTCAGCCAGATAGCTCTTTAGCTATAATCAAAACCAATTCTTTTCCTGTCTTTGAGGAAAACAGCAAGAAAGGTACTGTTTTTATATAGATAACAGTAGAATAATTTTCTTTAAACGACACAGAGAATAAGGGTATCATTCCTATATTTCCCTCACAAAACAGAACAGGAAGAGAGGCCTAACCATATACTTAGAGCTTTGCTCATAATATTTTTATTACCATTTATTTATCAAAAATAAATTAAACCCAATCATAATTTTTTCTTAACTGGTGAGGTGGGTATAACAATATTTAGTTAACCAACCTCATTTCAAAGTATCTCTAGGACTAACTATGATCTTTTCCTCTCTCCTTTCTACACACACACACACACACACACACACACACACACACACACACAAATGTGAATAAACAACAATCGCCAAGACGAACGACCGACATGCGTCGTTTTGGCCCTGCAACTTCTACATGTCTTATTTCAATTATAAGTAGTTACTATGCTAAAAATCAAGTTTATAAATATATATATAACATCAATATCAGATATGAATATGAATAATAATATATATATATATATATAATATATATATATTATATATATACACACACACACACTATATAATTGTATATAACATCAAATGCAGGTTAAACAGGTTACTGTTTTGTGGCTTTATTTATTTTTCTTACTTTCACATTTTCAGAATAGGATAAACAAGTACATGACCTAGACAGTCAGGAAAAAATAAAGTCAAGAGACTGAGAAGGCCTCCAATCAAAGCTCTGAACCTTCTGCCTACGTAGCCCCAGGCCAGTCATTTACCACCTCTGGGTCTCCTGAGAAATATGAAGAACTGAGAGGTTTGCTGCGAGGATGAACTAGAAGCTGCGCACCCAGGGTAAGCCCGATGCCTCACACAGAGAAGGTCATTCAAATATTACTGTCTTTCCTGGTTTCCAAACAGCAGGGCTTTGTGCAAACATGGTGGTCAAAGCAAAAAGGATAGAGGACTCCCTAAGAATATTTTTGGTAGGTGACGCAGAGCGTTGTACGTGAGGCATGAACGGGAATGGCTAAAACAAAGTTACGGAACTACGCTGACTACCAGACAGCACTTCAAGGGAGAGGGAACCTGAGGAAGCAATCTGTAAGGATGGGGGCCATGCCCTTTGTCTGTAACATATTGTACCCAGCAGGAAAATGGCCCTTGAAATATACGCTAATCCTCTATTTGCCATGAATATACTACCTTATACGGCAGAGGGACTTCACACATGCAATTAGTTTATGGATATTCAAATGAGGAGATATCCTGGGTTATCCTCGTGGGCCCAATACAATCACAAGGATACTTATAAGTAAGAGTCAGGAGAGTCAGCATCAGAGAAAAACTGGAAGATCCCACACCGCTGGAACTGAAGATGAAGGAAGGAATCTCGAGTGGCTTCTAGAAAAGGGAAGGGAACAGATTCTTCCCTAGAGCGTCCAGAAGGAACGCACACCTGCTAACACCTTGATTTTAGTCCAGTGCAGCACATTTCGTATTTGTGACCTCCAGGACTGCAAAATAAATCTGTGTCCTTCCGTCGCCGGTAGGAAACAAACATCCATGCCAAGTGACTGACTCAACAACTCAGGACGTAAGTGCCGAGACGGCACAGTAAACACACCACTGCTCTGCAGGGAGCGGGGGCTGCCATGAGCCTGTCTGTCCTCTCCCTGTGGCTACTGGGGACAACCGGCTGTCTCATCAGGATGGTGGCTCGTCAGCAGGTGCATGAAGGCTCTAGTATCAAAGCGTGTGCACACTTACCACTTTGCTTTTCCTGCCTTGGCCAGACAGAGGGAACGACCTCTGGTATCGCTCTTGAAAGACACTGACAGAACTACGGCAAAACATTTTATTCATGGTAAACAACAACAACAACAAAAACAGTAATATTTGAACCTGCCCCTTTCAATATTTCCAGGTATTACTCCTGACTTGCTCTAATTGTCCTTGAGCTTGAAGGTCTCTGGGTGAACCCAAAGTTTCCTTGATGTGGACTTTCCTCAGTCTTAAAAATCCCTAAATGTGCTAGAGGTTTTTTAATTATAGCTGTCACAAAATTAAACTTACAATCATCACATTAAAAGTTGAGAAAGAATTCACGTGAAATCTCAATGTCACAGCCTTGTGAAAACCGAGCAGTGTTGTTGACAAGTTAGTTGATAACACACAAGTGCTCTGCACTGAGCACACAGGGAGATGTGTTTCCCTGTGTACTGCCACGAACTTCACACAACTACAGAGAAATCAGGGCCCAGAAAGGGAGCAAGGGGGCACAAAAAGAGAAGCTCATACTCACAGCAGAAAAACATAAATCAACAAAGAATCAGAATAAATTACCAGAAGCCAAGAATTTACTTGAATAAAAAAATCACCCCACCCCACAAAGCAGGTAAAACACTTTATGAAACTACCAAGGACACAGAGTTTTAAAAATAAGTATAATGAGGTTCTTCCAGAATAGAAATAACATTAAAATAAGTCAAGATTGTTCACTTTGTGCTCAGAAACACTTTTATCATTTTAAAAAGCCACTGAAAAGCTTATTAACCTAAAAAGTGACCTCCTTTAGAATTATTCCTAATACTCAAGTTCTCTTCACAATTCCATCCACATAATTATCTAATCCTAAAGCTAAAAGGGACCAGAGATGTCATCTGGTCCACTCCCTGTCTGCTGTGACTCTCAGATACTATGTCATGACTTAGAAAGGCAACTCTTGGGATCTCGGCAATGCTTCCAAGTAGAATATACAACTACTATTCCTACAAAGGTCTGTATCTGTTTCAGATTTTCCATATTAGTTAAAATATTAAAACTCCCTAGGCATTTGACTCAAGTACTGAGCACGTTTTAAAAAACAAACTTAAAATAGGTACTAGATGGTTCACCAGGAAGAAAACTGCATATGCAGGATAGCAAATAGAGAATAATACGTATCTTTAAAAACTTCTACTTAGAAATACTTTCAAATGCCATTAAAATCATGTTATAAAAGAATATTTAATGGCAGGGCACCTGGGTGGCTCAGTCGATTAAGTGTCTGACTTCGGCTCAGGTCACGATCTCACGGTTTGTGAGTTCGGGCCCCACATCGGGCTCTGTGCTAACAGCTCGGAGCCTGGAACCTGCTTCGGATTCTGTGTCTCCTTCACTCTCTGCCCCTCCCCAACTTGTGCTCTGTCTCTCTATGTCTCTCAAAAAATAAATAAATGTAGAAAAAAAAAAGAAAAAAAAGGAATATTTAATGGCAATGGAGATTATGAGAAGTGAAAAACTCAGGCATAATAGATGTGTGTATGTTAGGTATCCTTTTCTTTTTTTCTTTTTTAGAGACAGAGGGAGCATGTAAGCAGGGGAGAGGGGCAGAGAGAAAGAAGAAAGAGAGAGAGAGAGAGAGAGAGAGAGAGAGAGAATTCCAAACAGGCTCCACATTCAGTGCAGAGCCCAACACGTGGCTTGATCCCATGACCTTGGAAACATGACCTGAGGCAAAACCAAGAGTCAGACACTCAACTGAATGAACCCCTCAGCTGCCCCCTAGATACGTTTTACCGTAGGCTCAGAGAAGACAGAAATGAAAAGGACATTTGTTAAGGGGGGAGTTAATATACTGTCTGGTCAAATTCACCAGCAAGGGGAGAAAAGAAGACTATAGACAATGTTTTACCTTTGTATTAAACCTATCTTCAGTAAGGCAATGAAATTTCAATCTCTTGAGTAGGACATAATAAATGCAATGAGATATCTTACCAGTCACCTGTATCAGGAGTCTGGCTTTCCAAAAAGAATATACGGAAGAAAACAGCCTAGTGTCATCTATTAGAACAAGGGTCAGCAAACTTAAGAAAACATAAAAGTCTGAATTTAAATAAAATGTTCTGGGCTTTGAAGATTACATAGTCTCTGCTGCAACTCTCCACTCTGCCCTTGCTGCATGAAAGCTTCCAAAAGCAGCACCTAACAAACTGGTGTAGCTGCACTTGAATAACGTTATTTACACACGAGGGCAGAGGGATGACCTAGCACACAGGCTGAAGTGCCTGCCCCACCCCCAGAGTCCACATCCCTGTTCTGTTCCAGCACATGCAATGCACATAGAAGAGTGCCTGGTAAACAGCTCTCACTCAGTGAACGGCTGTACAGCAAAGTGTGTTTTGAACAGAAAACCAAAAAGGAATCCACAGTTCTAGTATATCTCTATTCCAGTTCATTTAGACGTCTAGAAAAGAGAGAGGTCCTTGTGACAGTACTCAACTTGTGTAACGTGTCTAAGAGTGAGTCTGTGGATCGACTAAGCTGTGAAGCTCGGTTGGGAAACTCCCCTAAAGAAAAATGAACCCATAATCTAACTTAGCCACTGTTTTAAAGATTGTAACAGGTAATCTTTATATGGGGGGGGGGGGGGG